TACTCCATGCTTCAAAGGGAGATAATAAAACCTAAAACTACCAAGATCTCTGCTTGAATATTCACAGGTGCAAGCAAGAGACCGGTGAATGTTGTTACGCATTCCAGTTGACCTGCTCAATGTCCCACGTGGTTTGTAAAAGGTGTTTTCAACAAATAGCATTAACCCACTTTGTTTCCTACAAGATACTGATTTCCAATATTTTTAACAAGTCCTTTGAAACACGCTGTGATGTGTGTATCTATTGCTTGAATAGGTCTGAGGTCTCAGGTGCAAAACACTGCCTGGGGCTACATGCCTCTCTCCACCAAGAACTTGATTAAAAGAAAAATTCAGACCAATACAGAGAACACCAATTTTACTGTTACAAGAAACAGAACTGTTTGGATGAGAGAGCAGCACCATTGTCTCCCTTTTGCCATATACATCTCCAAATCCTTGCTCAGTGAAAATAGTTCAGCAGGGAAATACAGAATTTAAGAAGATTTGGTTTCTCAAATGAGCCTTTAATTTGACAGACTTAAAGCTGCATTATTCTCCACACTCCTGACTGACCTTGCCTGTGTTCTTTTCTTCAAAATGAGCTCTCTTCCATGCAAAATCTGCCACACTGCCTTATTTATTATTGACCCGTCACAATTTGGAAACATAGCTTAAAATAAATGAGCCTGAATGCCACGGCTGTAGAGTTATTAAACTGCCTGGCACTGAGGAAATTGCTTTTCATAAACATCCTGAGCTCCTATGCTTTTTCCTTAAAGTGTTTAATACAGCAACAGTCCTAGTTCATGTGAATCAGTCTGCAAACTGAATTGCTAATGAGAAGGGAAGATGTATTATTGTTCAATATTGAAAGACTGGAGTTAGAGGACAGACCAAAGAAAGGAGTTGCACAATATACAAATGCCATTCTTTTGACTTGCTGTCACTTGATGCATGAGCTAATCAGTGAAAGAAAATGCCTCCACTTTCTCAGTAGGTGAGAGAGCACAGAGGATGTTTCAGGTCTCTTTCATCACTGATCCCAAATCTCACTGCCAATGCTAGCATCCCTCTGCTGTTGTCTGCACACATACCTGCTATCTGGCAGTACAGATACTAGCAGGTGAACAAAAATAAAAGTGATTTCCAGATTACTCTTCAGAGAGACAGAACCACAATATTCTTTAGTTATTAGTTCTCTATTTAGTGTCTTCCCTTGGAATCATTCAGGCATTTCCTTTCCATGCTAGCACTGCCTTAGGCACCTGGAAAGGAATCTGAAGGGTAAGTGCTCCAGTCCATGCAGGTTTGTTTGGAAAACCAGACGCATTGTCCAGATGAATGGCACATGAAGAGCATGCTTCCCTGTACCTAGTCACCAAACCTAGAGAGATTTGTTAGGGATGCCCACACAACATCTCAGCAGATCAATTCCTCTGTCAGGGCAGACTGCCTCTGCCCCACCACTGCTATTGCACACGATACACCAAAGCTGCAGTTTGAAAATGCTCTTTACGCCTCTTCAGTGTGAAATGGCTGGAGCTGCAGCTGGACAGGGAGACGGTGGGATACCCTGTCCTACCTGCATGCTCAGCAATCCCCCTCCTCAGTGTTAAGAATGCACCAGTGCAAGGTCCTGCCCCTGGATCGGGGCAATCCCAGCACAATCACGAGCTGGGGGAGACTGGATGGAGCAGCCTGAGGAGAAGGACTTGGGGATGTTGGTGAGGAGAAGCTCCCCATGACCCGGCTTCAGTGTGTGCCTGAGTCCAGACCCCCCCCCCCGTGTGTGCTGGGCTGCACCCCCAGAGCGTGAGCAGCAGCTCAGGGAGGGGATTCCCCGTCTAGTGGAAGGTGTCCTTGCATGTAGCAGGGGCTGGAACTGGGTGAGCTTTAAGGTCCCTTCCAACACAAACCAGTCTGGGATTCTATGATGTGTGTATTTGTTGTGCCACGTAATCATGCTACTCTTCAAAACAAACCTGGACAGTCTCTGTTTACCTCAATCTCACCACCTAGGATTCCAGACAAGAAGCAGGTTGGTGAATCTATTTCCTACCCATACATCCAGTGCTCCTTAACAGGCTCACAGGTATTGCAGATTTGAAGGGACTTTGAAACCTGACCACTTTAGCCTGAGATAGAGATACAGTAGCAGAACCACTCTCCTGCACTTCAATCTCTACACAGGGCTCGGATGGAAGCGGGAAAAAGTCATCCTTCTCACCTGTGATAATCAATGTGATACCAAGGAGGCGCCTTTACATCAGACCTAGAAGCAACGATGAATTTTCCAGTCCTCATCCCATTTTGAAGCCCAGCAGGACAAACGGATGAAAAACAGCATCTGAAAACACATACAAATCCTGGATCGTCCTGAGTCCATTTAATGGTGAGTTTGCACCTACATGATGGTAAAATGAGCAAACACTGTCTGCCATCTCTTTACAAGATGTAAAAGCCAAGTGAATCCTTTCAGTAATGAATTCTTATTTGCAGTGGCTTTAAATTGAAGGAAATGAGCGTTTCTTTCTCCTCTCCAAAGAACGTGCGGAGCCCCCATCGGGGTTGCTATGCAACCACCTCCTGCACATGGCTGATAACACTCTCCGCATTATTTCCCCGCCTGACTGCACCTTCAGAACAAAGCCGGGCTAATGAAGCTTTCAAATGCTCTTAGCTCTGCCTTTAACAGTTCAACACGGGTTTTCTTTGCATGTTTGTGACAGTTACATCCCTCCAGCCAGTGGTGTTTCCGGGGCTGGATGGAGGAAATGCCCGACGGAGAGCGATGGACAGGATCAGAGAAGAGCAGCAGAACACCCAACAGATACAGCCGGCCTCCAAACCGAAGGGCAGCCACCATGAAACAGGCAGCGATGACGAGGCCCTCCCGAGCATTGAGGCACTGTTACTACAGACCGAGCCAGGCGTCCTCCAGTTCCCATTTACCCGTCAGACATAATACCCTTACCATACCACAGCTGCTTGTGGGTGTGGGTACAGCAAGGACAAACCTCCCCACGGGTGTACGTGAAAAGGGACAGGATGAAGACGACTCACCAAGTCAGGCAGTACCAGTCCCTTAAAGCCCTGAGGGACTGTTTTTTTAAACAATCTGTGAAATAAATGTGACTGTGCTTTTCTTACACAGCATGGCTTGAACCTGCCAGAGGGGAGACTGAGATGAGCTCTTAGGCAGAAGCTCTTCCCTGTGAGGGTGCTGAGGCGCTGGCACAGGGTGCCCAGAGAAGCTGTGGCTGCCCCATCCCTGGCAGTGTTGAAGGCCAGGTTGGACACAGGGGCTTGGAGCAAGCTGCTCTAGTGGAAGGGGTCCCTGCCCGTGGCAGGAGTTGGAACTGGAGGAGCTTTAAGGTCCCTTCCAATCCAAACCATTTTATGAAGGGAACTTCCTAAGTGATGATATGGTGATTTTTTTCACCTGTCTGACCCTCTTGGTTGTTCATACTTGCCAGGCTGGTGAAGCTGAAGGTGTGATTGTCTAGGGGATAAAGAAGGAAAAGAGAAAGAAACCAATAGAAATGGAGGGTGGTGTTGTCCCTGTGCAGGTGTTTTGAGTTTGTTTTGCAGGGGTTGGAGGAGATGCAGATACATACAAGTTCTGCTGGCCTCTCCTCACTTATTCCAAACCTTGCTCTTGGCAGGCTGCAGTAGAAATGTGCTTCAGTGGCTCTCTGTCCTTTGCAGGCTGAAGACCAGAGGCCGATTCCCCTTGCTTGCACCTTTGGCTGGATAACCCTTTCCATGCCAGGAGGGTGAGGTGAGCCTTCAGTACAGAACGTACTTTATGTTGGTCCATGTGTGGATGGATGCTTCACGTTGTGAATGAACTGCTTGCTTGTGACTTGTGTTGGAACTGAATCTTTTGAGCCTTACCCACAGTTTGAAAAGTCCTGAGAAGTATGGTTATGTATAACCCACCTGTGTTGTGTCCTGTCTCAGCTCTTTGTACTGCCTGGCCAATGCAGGCAGAGAAAGTTGCTATGATCTGTGCAGATGACTCTGTAGTAAGCCTTCTGTGGACACAAGAGGCAGTCAGAAAGTGTAGTAATTGCCTTTTACTTACAACAAACCAGCAGAGCTTGCTCAGGGTTTCAAGAGAGACAATTAAAGATATTGCATTGTTTTCTTCAAAAGGAGAAATAGACCTGGGGGTTCCCTAATGGCCCTCATGATCCTGCACCGAGCTTTCAGAGTGCCTTGTTGTGGGTTGCATTTATTATGAGCCACTTATTATCCCTAATTATTTAGCAGGGGGGAGGTCTCTCGGTAACAGGCAAAGTTGTGCCTTGATGAATACTCAGCTGTCTGTGTTTAAGATAAAATTACTGTAATTAACAAATCGATCAACCCTACTTTCACTTTGTCCGGCTGGGACAGAACAAATAGGGTAAGTAAGACCTATTTAGCACAAAGGTAGAGAAAGGGGTTTGCTGCCCTCAGGATACACAGGCTTGAAGGGTTGCTTTTGTGGTTGTTTTTTTTTCCCCACACAGCGCTTTTCATGTTAATGTCACATAATTGTCTTTTGTTGGGTAATTTTGTCTCCAACAAAAAGCATTCGTGCTGCACTTTCCTCAGCCCAGCACAACAGAGCCAGTGCTGAACAGGCAGGTGGGTTGTTCTGTTATAACCTAAACCCTGAGCAGGGCTGGGGTGGATCCCCTTGGTGCTCTGCTCTTCTGTGACTCTTGTCCCAAGCCCCTCTCCAGCTTTCCTGCAGCCCCTTTAGGCACTGGAGCTGCTCTAAGGTCTCCCCTTGAGGAGCCTTCTCTTCTCCAGGCTGCCCCAGCCCAGCTCTCTCAGCCTGGCTCCAGAGCAGAGCTGCTCCAGCCCTCGCAGCAGCTCCGTGGCCTCCTCCGGACTTGCTCCAACAGCCCCACATCCCTCTTGTGCTGCTGCCCCAGAGCTGGATCAGGGCTGCAGGGGGGTTGCCCCAGAGTGCAGTATTTACCATGATAGTTTATTTTCAGCACTAATGAAACTGGATCCAAGCAGTTTAACCACATTTTTATTGTTTCACTGAATAAATGGATTTTAAATAAAGCATTAAAAAATTGTAAAAAAGTTATTAAAAGCCAGCATTCAGAAGTAGGTTGCACATCAGTGAATGAAAAACTCATATGTACTTTTTGGTACAAAGATAGGAAAGAAAAATAAAAAAGCATATCCACCATCTGGAAAGAGATAGTTTTTTTTCTTTTTTACATTTCCTTCCATGTTTGAGAATTGGTATTTGTCTTGTGAGAACCTCTCACCAACCTGGTTTTCACAGCGCTGATTCACATTGTTTGGTGTTGAAAAGAAATCCCACTCACTTGTTGTTTACAGCAGCGGTGATGTAGTGTTTCCCCCTCATGCGCATTGGAAGCCAGTTTGCTTAACAGAACATCCAGCATATGAGGCATATAAGAAAATGCAGTGTTATGTGATTTGCAGGGATGTAATTTAGCTTACGAAAGATCTCTGAGCTTACACTGGTAGCTTTATGATTGGGTATTTCTTACAGTATCACATCTCTGGCATTCAATCTTTGCTAAGCTTCAACACTGCAACAAAGGCTTCCACAAGTGATGAGTGAATAGGTACCATCAATTTTTATGCCTGATTTTAAAACAGATTGGTCTTCCAAGAGGCACAAATCAGCCATCCTCAGGGACAGGAATCGGGTCCTTTTGGGCACAATTTTATCCCTGTAAAACAGAGGCACCTCAAGAAGCCTTGACATTGGGGTTCTGGGTTGGGAGGTGGGTTCTTTGCAAGTTTCTATTACGGGTACTTAAAAAGACAGCTATGAAGAGGATCTCAGCACACAGTGCCATCTGCACCATCTCAGCTAAGAAAAGTAGACTAACACTTTAATATATGCATCATTTCAAGACATCAGCCCCACTCACTCACACAACATTCACAACAGGTAAGGAAGAATATGGGTTACGGTTCACCTGTTCCTCAACCATGGAGAGAATTTAACCAAACTACAAAATGAGGTTCCCTTAGAATAGAAACTGGGGCTTTGAGTTAATGAACAGGGGTAACTATACTTCAACCTGGGGGGGGGGGAACAGAGAAGGGGAAGTCCAGACTGCAATGGAAAAAAAAACATTTAACAAAAGAGCTAATACTGGAGACTGTCACCAGTGCAGCTAGAATCTGACAAAGGAAATATTTTGAGTATACACTTGCAGGGCAGCCCTGCTTCTGCCATGTGAATAAATATCCAACAGTGTTTAAAACCAGTATATAAAAAAAGATGTTGTGATTTTCAGAGATGGTGCATGTTCCATCCCCTGGCACTGCACAGGAGGTTTCCTCTCGTGAGGTATTTCAGTATCACCACAAAGGAAAACAATACTTCTGCACGCCTCTTCCACAAGTGCAGTCTGATTTGAGGTCGTGTGATGGTTATGCAGTGATGTGAGATGCAAGCATTCTGCTCTGCTCTCATCTCTCCAGACCACTGCACTGTGTGGGATGAAAACCTGCACTCAGAGTGGTGAAGGCTCAATTCAGTACCCACTGTGCAACCAGACACAGTGCAACCAGACACTGTGCAACTTTGAGCAAAGCAGAGACCTCTTTGTTCAGCCACTGCACATCTTAGGGGTTCTTTGATTTGTCTTTAAACAGACATGTTCACGGACAGTCTTCCAAAAAGAAGTCCAGTTTCTGTGGCCAGTTCAGACTACTGACCTCCAATTACCTCAGAATATTTCCTTGGTTGTCTGTTGATATATAGGTTGTGCATCAAAATAAATGTGATGGTTTACCCTCATCAGTGGCAACCTATGCGTTTGGTTTTGCATCACCAGCAGAGCTCTATGGGACAGGCACCTTCTATCATGCACACTGTGCATTTCAAAGGCTGCTGTCCATCCCATACTTTTTCTCCAAGGTTGTTTTCTTGAGTTGCCTAGATGTATTGAACGGTAGCCATTAAATACAGGATGTTGGCTTCGCATCCCCTCTGGCTATTTTGGAAACATCTTTTTTCATTCTTCAAAGAACGCAAGAGTATCTTATTAGTGAAACCCAGACTCACAACTTTTTCTGGCGATATGCAACAATCGACAGTGGCTCTCACCTATTGGGATGTCATTAGTACCGCTGCAGCATTTGACCCTCTCCTCTAAAGTGTGGGTGTGATCAAAAGAGAAAGCAAATCCAGAAGAAACAGATTACTTCCACCACCTTCAGGAGGTCGTTTCTTCTGTTCCATCCTTGCTGCACAATCACTGTAGCTTTCTTTGCAGAGTTTGGGGGGGGGGGGGGGGGCGGGGATATTTTGTTTAAAAATAGTCATACCTCCTGCAAACCCTGCTACATGAAGATAATGCTGCTCGTTACCGACACCCCTGTAGCACATAGGGTAGGGTACTCACAGCCAGCTGTCATGGAAGTGGTAAATAAAGCTGGTTTTCCTTCAAAGACACAAACATTGTCCAGTCTGTGACAATACCAGGAACATCTATATGGCTTTTCCACACCTTCCAAAACTTCAGCAGAACGCTTCATTTTGCTCATGCTTTCCTTAAAACACCCGAGGATAAGATGGATTTTGCTTAATTATCCACTCAGCATGGGGATTGATGTAGTACAAGTCTAAGAGGTAAGTGTCTGGGTCCAGGCAATGTTCACCTATGAAAAATCAAGAAAAAAAGCATTTCTTATATCCTTAGTCCTATAGTTGCTAGTTTTTGTTGTTTGGTTTTTTGTTTGGGTATTTGTTCACATTAATTTCAATACCACAACCATTCAGAAGTTTTTCTACAGATCTGGAAAATTTCTCATTATTTATGTTTAAATGAATGTACATGTCTTAAAATTCTGCTAAGCCTAAGCTTTGACCTTTGTGGAAAGACTCTCTAACATTAATACTCCATAACTTTAGCACCTGAAAACCATCATGAAATATGCTAGTGATCAAATCCAGAGATTGAATTGTTTCCAATGATTGAGCTTTTCCTCTATGGATGCTACTAAGAGAAATACAGAGAGGCAGCCAAAACACTACAGTAACCAACAGCCTCCAGAAGCATCTGTAACAGAGCATAAGAATTCCTTCCCATTTCCAGACACCCCTAATCTGCTGCTGCAATCACATTATTTGAGTCTCCTCCCCACTTGATGACATTACCCTACTGACAAGGGGAAACTGGTGACTAATGAACATCAACTTGTTTAACCACATGGTCTGAGAAACCTCCACCCAAGTTAGTACAGGCTCTTTTATCAGGAAGTGGGTAGAGGCAGACAGGATTCACATTTGGTACAGATGCCATGTGCCAGCCTGCCATACTTAATTAAAGCCCAGATAAGAGGCACAGAATTAAAAGCCTAGTCGCATAGGATGAAGTTTCCCTTTACACCTTCCTGGACCCCTTCCACCAGAGCAGCTTGCTCCAAGCCCCTGTGTCCAACCTGGCCTTGAACACTGCCAGGGATGGGGCAGCCACAGCTTCTCTGGGCACCCTGTGCCAGCGCCTCAGCACCCTCACAGGGAAGATTTATCTTTTCCTTTGAAAGTCCAGGATTCAACCTTCCCACATACTTGCACTGTAAAGGCTTTGCAGAGCAGGCTGGAAGACATATGAACTATCAACCAAATTGCTCTGGCAGGTGCTGCTTGCTGTGACTGGAGTTGACCCATGCTTGTTCAATTGTGTTCTAACTTCTGAAGCCCCACTCCAAATCTCATCCTTTTTATAACTCCTTCCTAAGACAAGTTAAGCATAAATACTGAGTATCAGAGTCCTTATTTTCAGTTACCACTCAGACTTACCAATATTGCCTCCCACTTCATACAGGAGCAAGTTTGTGCACTCCATTGAGTTGTTACTGCAGAGAGAAAAAACACACTGAAGTTAAAGCTATGCAAAAATCAGGCTAGGTAGTTTAGCAATGTTTCTTCCAAATGAATTGCTTGTGGCTCAGAGGCCAGCAATGGTCAAGGAAGTTACAGGCTTCAGAGACCATTGCTGATTGTCCTAACAGTGCAGCTCTTGACAGACCCAAAATTGGGAAAAAAGAAAACAAAGCAGATATTCCTCACTAGTAAGAAGAAGCACATTATATGCAAACACTGACTTTTCAATAGGTAGACAAATGGCATTAATACCAAAATTCACTGGCAACATTCCTCTAGAGCTGATGGCCTGTTCAAGAGAAGCTTATCTGCAGGAAGACTTCAGCAGCTGTAGGAGCTTGTTAGTGAGACACCAGCTGACCCATATTCAGCCAGCTTCCCATCCGCGTTCCCTGCCTAGACACCTCCTGGCCAGGGGCACAGTCAAGAGATGCACTAACACTTTACCTACTAAATACAGTCTGCAGGCACAGTGACAAGGAGGGCAGGAATTCTGCTCATTTTAGGGGTTATTTCAGTGATTCACCACTGAAGCAGAGTTTATTTTAGGAAATCCCTATAATAACATGTTGGAAATACTATTCCAGGCAAATAAGTTGCACAGGTGATGTTTTCCTCCAAGAGAGCTAGAGAGAGTTTCTTTTGCAGGGTCAGTATTATTCCACTTCCCCTTCCTCAGCAAGGATGCTGTCCAGCAGCCCAGAGAGAACTACTGAGCTCAAGACAGCCAGAGCACAGTGATGGAATCATTCAATTGAACTAATAGTTGCTTGCCCCATCCAACACACTATTCCCAAAGCTTACAGGAGCAGAGAACAGTCTCCTAATGGCTCCTTGAGCCACTGCATGAGGTTCCTTTAAGGTGAGGTTACAAGGGGCTCTGAGCAACCTGCTCTAGTGGAAGGTGTCTCTGCCCACAGCAGGGATTGGAACTGGATGAGCTTTAAGGTAACTTTTGACACTAGCCATTCTAGGATTCTTTGGTCAGCTCTGCCAGAAAACCAAAACCAGCAACTAGACCACCTAGTGCTTGCTTTTCTTTTTTTTTCCTTTTTTTTTCTTTTTTTTTTTTCTTTTTAATTTTAAAAGCAGAGAAAAAGCTATTTACCACTTGAGGAGGTTGACAGTGTTCACAATATTCCAGCCATGCTGGCACATGTTCTTTTGGAACTGCCTCAAGACATCAGCAGCTCTGGTTGCATTGTTCAAGTGCACTTCTAATGAATCCTTCAGGAGAAGTGAAGCATGGACTTTCACAATCTTGGAAGGCTGAACAAGGCAGGCAAAAAAGAAAGTGTTTAATGAAAGACTTTGGTTGTTATCAGCTAAAACATTAAGTTTCAAATTAGATTGAAGAACGTGAAGAATTACACCAGAATTGCAGCCAGCAGTTCAAAGAATTCAGGTTTCTTTATTATCCCACACATACTATACAATGGAAGCTTATAGAAGCATCAAGGTGAGCATTATAAAGAATTCATCAGTACGTTGGTGTGGTTGGGGGGAAAAACACCATTCTCTATCAGCGTGCGCTGGTGCTCTCTGCTGTTCAAACGCAGCACTGGCACCAGAAGCACGACAAACCTCGTGAAAATAGAATTTGTCAGAATAAATCATGACAAACCGTCAAGTCCTATTTTTTTTAAGACTGTTTTCATCAATTCCTTCATGAAGAAACTCCTCAGACCTTTTGGAGGGAACACCAGGACCCCCCCTGCAGTTCTGATCCAGCTCTGAGGCAGCAACACAAGAGGGAAGTGGAGCTGCTGGAGAGAGTCCAGAGGAGGCGATGGAGATGCTGCGAGGGCTGGGGCAGCTCTGCTCTGGAGCCAGGCTGAGAGAGCTGGGCTGGGGCAGCCTGGACAAGAGAAGGCTCCTCAAGGGGAGACCTGAGAGCAGCTCCAGTGCCTAAAGGGGCTGCAGGAAAGCTGGAGAGGGGCTTGGGACAAGGGCCTGCAGGGACAGGCCAAGGGGAATGGCTTTAACCTGCCAGAGGGGAGATTGAGATGAGCTCTTAGGCAGAAGCTCTTCCCTGTGAGGGTGCTGAGGCGCTGGCACAGGGTGCCCAGAGAAGCTGTGGCTGCCCCATCCCTGGCAGTGTTCAAGGGCAGGTTGGAGACAGGGGCTTGGAGCAAGCTGCTCGAGTGGAAGGGGTCCCTGCCCGTGGCAGGGGTTGGGGCTGCAACTTGATGAACTTTAAGGTCCCTTCCAACCCAAACCATTCTAAGATTCTATGAAACATTAAACTGTTTTAATGGGGTCTAATCTGCAGCAAGTTAATTTTGCAGCCCCAAATCCTCTGCAAAACCACTGTACAAGACTGAAACTGTGGGACCAGTGCTAACCAGTCCTAAGCATCGATCATCTGTTTGACTGCCTGAACAGCAGTTACACTCTCTGAAATGACAGCTCCTTCCACAGTGACATGCTGCCTTGACAAGCCAAATTTTAGGCAGATGTCATCTCAGTATCCCAACTCATACAGAAAGGTGGGTGTTATACTGGCTTGTGCACTGGCTCTTCAGGTATTATAGAATGGTTTGGGTTGGAACAGTCCTTAGAGATCATCCAGTTCCATTCAGATTTAAGCTTTCAATGTATTAATTCCACCTGTAGACTCCATCTGGTTTGTGTCCCTAGAGTATCCCAATTGCAGCACCACTGATATGC